GAAGGCCACTATCAGAGCAACCTGGGCTCTCATAACACCCGAGCAGTGCCACAGACTGATCGACTCCATGCCACGCCGCATTGCTGCAGTATTCAGGCAAAAGGGTCCCCAACTAAGTATTGAGTGCTGTACATGCTCATACTTTTCATGTTCATACTTTTCAGTTGGCCAACATTTCTAAAAATCCTTTTTTTGTATTGGTAAGTATTAAGTAATATTCTAATTCTCGGAGATACTGAATTTGGGATTTTCATTAGTTGTCAGTTTTAATCATCACAATTAAATGAAATAAACATTTGAAATATATCAGTCTGTGTGTAATGAATGAATATAATATCAAAGTTTCACTTTTTGAATGGAATTACTGAAATAAATCAACTTTTTGATGATATTCTAATTATATGACCAGCACCTGTAAACAGTTACACACAGCTACGATCTTGCTCGGCTGTCTCTCAAACCCTTCCAGAATCTCAGAGATCTCCTCTGCCACTACTTTGTCAGTTTGCGATTTGCACACTGGTGTGGAGGACCTTCTGCTTTGCACTGCCCTGGCTTGTGTAGTGCACTGTAACAGTGAGATAGTGATCCTGACAGAGGCTGGTCCATCCATCTGATGTGATGGCCAGCTTTTGCACGTCCTTCAGCTCAGTGATCACGTTGGCCTTTTCTACACCCTACCAGGTAATAATTAATGTGTCACTGAGGTAACTCTTCAGTCATCCTCCCACTAGATGCCTGCGTGAAGGGGCTTTGGAGTGGTTTTGTTTAATTTTAGCTCCAACTTTAACAAAAAGGTTGCAAAATCTTTTAATGAATTATTGAACCACCCATAGATAAACTACCAGCTGGTTAATGGTTACTCTTAATTTGAGGTGGGTAAGGTAGCCAAAATCAAGTACTACGGTAAAAGTGGGATCATAATAACAAAATAATGTACTGAGAAAATTACAAAGTAGTGAGTAGAAACACTGGGCCTTTTATGTAGATGTGACTTGCGTATTTCAGTTACAGATGGTCTTCCTCAGGTAAAGGTAAAGAAGCGAACATACACTTGTATTTATTTGTGATGAAATGACAAGTCATCAGAATCAGAAGAAGCTTTATTGCCAAGTAGTGTTTTACACATACAAGGAATTTGCTTTGGTGTTAAGGTGCTACACGTAGACAGACATACAGCTGACATAAATAGATGTAGAAATATATAAATATGGAATAAACAAATGCAAGTTATATAAGAATAACAGAAGAATAGAGAAAAATAATACAACTGACAATATAAAAAAATAATAATAAAAATAACAATGGAACAACAATTTACAGTTGACAACAAATTAACAACAAATAAGTGCAATGTGCCAGGTTCGTGCATGATATGACATGAAGTGATATTTACACGTGCAGAGACGATTGTATTATTTGAAAGTGGGGAGTGTCAGTAGGGGACCCGGGCCTTGTTAATGAGGCTAGCCGCAGACGGGTAGAAGCTGTTTTTGTGGTGAGAGGTTTTGGTCCTGATGGACCGCAACCTCCTGCCAGAGGGGAGAGTCTGAAACAGTTTGTGTCCGGGGTGGGAGGGGTCAGCTGCAATCTTTCCTGCTCGCCTCAGAGTCCTCAGGGAGTACAGGTCCAGAAGAGAAGGAAGATTGCAGCCAATCACCACCTCTGCAGAGCGAATGAGGCTGCAGCCTGCCCATGTCCCTGGCAGTGGCAGCAGCGTACCAGATGGTGATGGAGGAGGTGAGGATGGACTCAGTGAAGAAGTGCACCATCATTGTCTTTGGCAGGCTGAACTTCTTCAGCTGCTGCAGGAAGTACATCCTCTGCTGGGCCGCCTTGGTGAGGGAGGTGATGTTCAGCTCCCACTTGAGGTCCTGGGAGATGATGGTGCCCAGGAAGCAGAAGGAGTCCACAGTGATGACTGGGGAGTCACACAGGATGATGGAGGAGGGTGGGGCTGGGCTTTTCCTGAAGTCCACGACCACCTCCACTGTCTAAAGAGCGTTGAGCTCCAGACTGTTCTGGCTGCACCAGGTCACCAGATGGTCCATCTCCCACCTGTAGGCGGACTCATCCCCACCCAATGAGCCCAATGAGGGTGGTGTCATCCGCAAACTTCAGGAGCTTGACAGACTGGTGACTGGAGGTGCAGCTGTTGGTGTACAGGGAGAAGAGAAGGGGGGAAAGAACGCAGCCTTGAGGGGAACCGGTGCTGATGGTCCTGGAGTCAGAGACATATTTTCCCATCTTGACGTGCTGCTTCCTGTCTGTCAGGAAGTCAGTGATCCACCTGCAGGAGGAGTCAAGCACGTTCAGCTGAGAGAGCTTGTCCTGCAGCAGGGCCAGGATGATGGTGTTGAAAGCAGAGCTGAAGTCCGCAAACAGGATCCTGGCGTAGGTTCCTGGGGAGTCCAGGTGCTGGAGGATGTAGTGAAGGGCCATGTTTACTAGCTGGGCTGGGGCGATATGTCGACGTAATCGATAACGTAAATATGTCGACTCATCCGGTGTGGGATTATCCCGGACAAGCTCCAGCTACAAGACCACGCCTTTGACCATCGAGTATTCCAGACAGACACTCAACAACGTGCTGCTCCGTGAGCTCTGTGAACTGGAAACAGCTTCACTGCAGCACAGCTGCTGTCCACGAACACGTGAAACGAAAGTATCCCGCAGCACTTTGTCTAGATGGCAGCACTGCAAATCGTGTTTCCTTTCTGTCGCCACACAAGCACGGCACATAATCAGCATGAGGACACATAGTATTTCTTCATTGCCTTCATGTTAAAAGTAATTTCTGCTGCTGTCATGGTAACATAACGTTACACCGCAAGTCATGTAACGATTGGCTGTTTCATATTTTCTGTTTCTTTAACAGCCACGTATGAGCGAGAAAACGGCTGAATCTAATTACAGACAATCTGTGACTGTCTGGACAGTCTGAGTCCTTTCAGGTGTTCACTGATGCAGAAATACATTTTATTATCATACTGCATTACTCAATATTGAAATGAATCCATATCAGAAACATTTAAAGTTTGAAGTAAAGTAATGTCTGTTATTGTTATTATCACAACAGATCAGTGAGGTGGAAATTTGATTCATTATTCTAATGTGCTTCATCAGGATGATTGAATAAAATATAGATTTATTGATTAGACATGTTTTTGATATTTATTTTTGATAAATTGGTATGTTAATCGAGTAATAGGCAACTTTTCTTTCTTTAGAATAAACAAAATTAGTCGTTAGATTAATCGACTAATCGAAAAAATAATCGTTAGATTTAATAGACTTAAAAAATAATCGATATGTACAGCCCTAATGTTTACTGCTATCATCTACAGACCTGTTGGCTCTGTAGGCGAACTGCAGGGATGTGGATCTGGGATGGATTTAAGGTGGGACAACACAAGGTGCTCAAAGGACTTCATAACCACAGAGGTCAGGGCGACGGGTCTGTAGACGTTTAGTCCTGTGGTCCTTGGTTTCTTGGGGACAGGGATGATGGTGGAGGCTTTGAAGCAGGCTGGCACATGGCATGTCTCCAGTGGGGTGTTAAAAATGTCTGTGAACACCGGAGACAGCTGATCAGCACAGTGCTTCAGGGTGGATGAAGACACAGTCCGGCCCCGCAGCTTTGCAGGGTTTCTACCTCCTGAACAGTCGGTTGACGTCCCTCTCTAGGATGGTAAGAGAGGGGGAGGAGGTGGGGATGAGATGGTGGACTGTGGCCGATCAGTGGTGTGACTGGGGATGGTGTCAGGTCTGTCCCATTGTTTTTCAAAGTGACAGTAAAACTGGTTCAACTCGTTGGCAAGGGGTGAGTCGTTCATGGAGTGGGGATTTAGGTTTGTAGCTGGTGATCTGTCTGAATCCTTGCCAGACAGAGGCAGAGTCATTATTTGAGAACTGGCGTTGTAGTCTCTCTGCATACAGCTGTTTAACATCTCGCACCGCCTTGCTAAACCTGTACTTCGACTCCTTAAACCTGGCCCGGTCTCCACTTCTAAACGCCTCTTCCTTTTCCAACCTCAGCTGTCTGAGCTTAGCTGTGAACCAGGGTTTGTCATTTCCTAATCTCCTGATTAGATAACCTGCCACATTGACACTAAGTCTGAATCTCTCAAGTGTGATTACAAACTACTACATTAATTTTATAGTCTAAGTAAAGATTGTTTAAAAGTATACATTATTTTCTTGTTGTCTCCTATAATAAATAATGATTTAGCAAACAAATCAGTTTAGGAGATAATTCTGTAATGTTTCAGAATGTGTTGCCTAATAAATACAGGTGTGTTCACTTCATTTTTACCTCAGGAAGATCATCTGTTGTTGGAACATTATATCAGTCACATTCACATGAAAAGTAGTTTGTTTTTTGTGTGTATGGTGGCACACCACTCATACACTGTTTTGCTTGAATATTTACATTATGGCAGAAAGCAGAGTAGTAGTTTTGAAGCATGATATACTGTGCATAGCTGTTTATTATTAAACATATTAGCACAACATATGCTCTCCGTCAGCTCAGTGTAAGCACGGTTCTCTGATGTGCTGACTTCCCAACAGGAGCCCGCTCCACTGTGAACTAAATTTTCATCTGTAAATATTAGCTGCTAGTACTATTTCAGAGCCATACTACCATGCTTTAGCTTCAGCCATTATTCTGAGTAGAGTCATGTGGATGCTTTACTGCAGTAAAATAACAAAACACAAGGGACCTGACCTCACCTGGGACCAGCTGACCACCTACTCTTAACAGATCATGAATTAATTAAATGGTAAATAATAGTACTGGGCAACAATTAAAAATATTAATTGCATGATTTTATTCTATATTCTGAGTTTTTTCTGTAGTTTTATTTGTTGTTTTCAGTTGACTTTGCCCAATTATGTATAATGTCCTTGTTGATATTGGTAAAGTACATTGTATAACATTTTTCCAATGAACCTCATTCATAAAAGTGGGACATCTGTCTATGCTCTTGTCCCCACAGGAGTGACACCATGTTGGATGCAGATGGAGACTTTGACCTGGACGACACAATGGACGTTGCCCGCCATGTGGAGGAGCTGCTGCGCAGGCCTATGGCAAACCAGTGGAGCAGCCAGCAGTCCTGAACCCGAGCCTGCAGTACCCCTTCAGGTTTTCTCCTTCTTATCCAACAGAAACACCTTAACCTGTAATTTCTACCGGACTGCAACAACAGAAAAACATTTCCTGTCTTTGTCGATTACTCTGTCAGATCCACATTACAACTGACTGTTCATCTTCAGTTTTAGCTGCCCAATGGAGTTTTGGAAGAGAACATGTCTGGTAATGAATAACCTTCTGCTTGCACAAGTGTCTGTGTAGAGAAAGTAAACCTACCATCAAGAGTCAATGTTACTGGCATTTGACAGAGGCCGCTGTTATTCTCCCACTTATCCTCTCCCACTTTCTCAGGGCTGTCTTATGGAGCTGATTTTGGTCAATGGGATTTTTATACAAAACTGAGTCACTGCGTTAGTTTTTATGTGCTATCATGTGTTTGATGAGCTTTTAGCTGGCACTGGCAGACTTTCACATAAAATTCACAGTAAACAAGCTAGCTTCTCTTATTTTTTAAAAGGGTGTTTTCCAGTTTACACAATTAACATTGGTTAATGTGACTAAATCAAAATAATAACTTTTTTTTTTTTAATCTAGAAAATTCTTATATAAAAACAAGACTTATAGTAAGACTATGTAACCTTTGTGGAACATCAGCCACTGTGACCATAAGTAGTATTTGCAGGACGATGGCAAATTTTCCTTTATTTCCTTGAGTCAGTTTCTTTCTAAAGGCGTCCACATTAGGCGACCTGACAGAGAGGGTGGAATGGGACAACAAGCAGCAGCAACAAACATGTCTGCAAGTCAAGTACATTGGAGCTGTCAAGAAGTGCACAAACGTGCCAGCAAAGGCAGGAAAGAACAAGATTGCTAAGTAAACATGGATGTAAACAGTTTGCCAGTACCAGTCACCAAGTGATACCGATACCAATAGTGCTTCATTCGATACCTTGCTTGAAATTCCACTTGTTGAAGTCATAGTAGTTGATAAACAAGCAAGGTGGTTTACAATATTGGGAAATGTGTCAGATTGCTCCTCATCCTAATTAGGTTATCCTCAGAGGAAGGACGACAGCTTGGGTTTGAATCATCACATGATTTGTGGAAAACAAATTTAAGTTAAATCTTTCATATGTATGTTGAAATTCAACAACAGAATTATTTTGTTAACTTTAGATCGATAAACTGTTTGAAAGATCTCCACGAGAGCTTTTTCCCTTAGTGGTGAGTCGCAAACCTCCTCTAAAAAAGACGACAGTAAGAAGTAAAAAATTTCTAAGGAGTCTACTACACTAAAGAGTCAAACAGAGGAGAGTCTGCACATCCAGCCGACCACACCAACTACATCTGATATTAGCTGCAGCCGGAGGCTCCGTGAGTAAAATCAGCTGGTTTCTGCTGCGCCACAGAAGCGTTTAATTGATATGATGGAACGCAGCGATTGATCAGTGACAAGTGTAGTGAATAGCAAATAAAAATGTACAGAGTAAATGATACGAGAAGATGAAACCATCGGAAAGCCAAGCTTGTGGTGATAAACTTGCCTGAGACCACAGCTGAAGGTGAGCGGCTGTTAAAATCACGCATGGACTTACAAGCAGCTGCAGGCACATGAGGGGGAAAAAAAGAGGCATGCGCTTTTCTTTCTTTCAGGTGTGTTGCTTACGTATTTGGCTGCAAGCAAAACCATACAAATAGTCTTTTTTTTGCCACGATCTGTTTTAAAAAACATATCGAATGAAGTACTGGTTTCTCGATACTGGGCTGTTTGACTATTTCGGTATCGAGTAGCGATACCTTTAAGGTATCGCTAGTGATGCTGTATATTGTTTTAGTGGTCTGAATTCTTTCCTCAGCAGTTAGAGAGTTGAACTTTGGGTGAACTGTAAAATCACAAAGCTAAAACCACTTTCTCTAATTAAAACGCTGACACGGCAATCAGCTGAGTTAAAAACCCACAGCAAGTTGTGATTTAGCTGGATCCGTTCTAAACCACAGCTAATCTAGTCAGTGACACAGCAGCAGACTTGGAGTATTTACTTTTGTGATAAAACTACCAACATGTTTTCTGTAACATGCTAACACATAGTGAACTGGAACAACAGCACACTTGGAGATGACTGCTCATACTAGACCAGGTAACACTGTAGCAGCACAGCTCCTGATTGGGTTAAACAGAACAAGGGTGAGTTTATTACTTATCAATTTAACTTTTTGTAAGTGGCTGATTTGTTTTATTTCTTCTCTCAAAGGTTACATAGTCTGTGTTTAAGTACTCAAATCTTTATTTTAAATCTAACTGCTGCTGTTTGGTGCTTTTTTGTATGACATTGTTTCTTAATTGCTTCTATTACAGCCATTCTCTGACAGTCTTTGCCTCACAGCAAAATGTTCAAGTTGTTTTAGGTGCTATAATTTGGTCAATATCTGCTTATTGATATTAACACTCTTAAAATTTTATCAGAGTTTTATATACAAATGTTTGTACAATATGATAATTTTAACTGATATTTGGTCATTACTGAAACTTTACATTGTGGCCTAATATCCATGAGAACCTGAAATGCATCCTTGGGGTTTACCAGCCTAATCAAATTAGGCTTTAACGTGAAGAGCAGTAAATAAAGTGATCACTTACCAATGTCAGGTCAGTTAAATGTTACTGTGCCTGAATTTACTAAATACAGATGTTGTAGTCTGTGATCAGTGAATGCTCCGTGAATGTTTGTTCAAAATTTTAGAGGTTTGTTTGGGTCATTTAAATAAGCCTGGAAATATGGAAAGGAATCCCTGACAGTAACCAGTTAGTCTAATTGTTAACTCTAACTGGCATTTGTTTACCCCAAGTACTTAAGAAGTGCTGGTTCACTGTGGTGTTTCACTTTCATTAAGTCTCAGAAAAAACAGTTTCAATAAAGACAATAGCCAAAATATCCTGACTCTAATATAGATCTAGCTCCAAAAACTCTGGAAACTGCATGTTTCATAATGCAACTCAGTTGCATGTCCATCCCAGGCACACCCATGTCTGTGAAACTCCACACATTGCGTCTGTTATAAATGTAGTTTCCAAACCCAAACCAAGTTTACGGAAGTCCCCTGAGATATTTTCTCAGAGGTAGCAGGTCTCACAGGCTGCACAGAACCTGTGGGGTGGAAATGTTAGAAATACTGATGTGGAAATGTATGCACACAGATTGCTAAACCAAGAGAACAGATAAGACATGTTGGGAAATTATAGTTGAAGGGATGCACAGTCAAGATGCATGTATTGCAACAATAAGACTTCTGACCATATGAAGGAAATGGGTGCAGGGTCAGGTAGTGTATAGGCAGTGTCATCTGTAATTCATACCCACTAAATAATAGTATAAATTTTATTCCAGAAGAACAGACCTTTTCATTTAACTAAACATTAACATTACTGAACATATTAGGGTTTATCAGTCCATGTGTATTTATCCGCTCACTCATTGTAACAAGATGTGGCCATGGATTTCCACACCAGTATTGTTTCTACACCAGTATTGTTTCCGCACCAGTATTGTTTCTGCTAGATGAGCACCTCCATGAGGCTGAGACGTCATCCCAAAACTCACTGCCATCAGAGTAATGTTTCTAAACGGAGGATATCTTGTTTTGGAACCCAGGGGCAGTGTTTGCAGGACTTCACTGTACCTCCTAAGATCCTTCATCAGGATTTAACAGAAGTGCTCCTCTCATGCACTGTATTAACTGCCTGGCACTTAATTTCTGTCAAAACCCAACGTGAGCTGGACATTTAGCCTTTGCCAGTCTAAACTTGACTAAAACTAAAAAACTATTCATTTTTAATAGAATATTTCAATACAATCTTGTGCAGTCAAACCACAGACCCAGTGGATACACAAAAGTGCTAACCGGCTCAACCAGAAAGGACAAACTTAGTTGTGCATGTTGCTGTCAATTCTAGCATCATGTGTTGCTTTGTCGAAGTTGGACTGTGGCAGTAACCGTGAATGACTATTACATGTTCATAGATAATCTTAAACATATTCCATGTATGAAATTGTGTTGGCAAAATGGAACCTTAAGTGCTTTGTATGGTCCTTAAGTGCTTTGTACGGTCTTGCAAGCTAAGCTTAGATTCCTTTAGAATGCTCAAACCTCAAACTTCATCATACTACTTTCAGTGTACGTTCAGCACTGCTTCTGAAACGGTTCTGCTCTACATAGAAAGCTTTTTCTAGATTCTCAGTTAGCCTGAAATAACACTCAGTAAATGGTTCTTTTGTGTGGCGATACAGAGGCTCTGTAGATCTGATTGTTAAAGAACAGCACTTTTGATGCAGGATATTTTAAAGCCATTGTCACTAACACTGCACTACTACCAGCCTCAACCAAGGAATGTCTAGTCCTTTCCGAAAACACAACTCACTTAGCATGAAAGTTAACACAGTAAACCTCAGGAAAACTCACTGTGAAATAAAGATAGATGAGTCTATATCAACCAAATAATACCTGATGACTCGAGTGTAGATGGGATTCTTTTCTAACTCTCGTGCCACTTTTGCCTCTTATGCTTATTGTTATATTGTTATTGAAAAACCAAAACACAAACTTTTGTTCTAAATTAGCTAAAGTGATCAAGCACTTTGATGCTCACACCAGCAGTTATTGGATGTTATTGCTAATGCAGCACCTCTCCTGTTTGTCTTACAATCAACTTATTGTATGTTTGTCTTTAGTGTAAATCAGTTTTCTAGCTCGCTGCTGCCATGTGTTTGCTACCTTTTGTACAGTTTGTGGCTTGTTGGGGAATTTCTTATTATCTTCCATATTGTGCTACATTTTGCTGTAAGGTTGATATTGGACATAAAAATAAAGGTTTTTCTAATTAATCATATTCTGTTGTTGTGGTTTATACACATTATGTATTGTTGAGTCTCATGTGATGTTTATTTCACAGAGGGCATCACCTTGCAAATATATTTTTACGCCTGCTTGAGAAGAAGTCGTCCGTAGTGATGAGATATAACTCATTACATTTACTCGAGTACTGTAGCCAAGTTAAAAATAATATAGGTACTTTCACTCTAGCTGCTCATGACACTGTAATGTAAGACATACAAAAATTCTGTGAAATCAACTAGTCTTTGTTTTGTTTGTTTCAGTTTCAAGTTGATCCAAATAAAAATGTAGTTTTAATTTTTGGCCTATTTCAGAACGTAACTTGGTGTTTTATAGCTCTGATCAGCATTATCCTAGGCTTCCCAGCATTTATTGTTGTAGTTAAAAGTCTTCGCACTAGAAGAAGACCCTTAAGGACCTTTTGGGGTTCCTCACCATTTCCACTGTGAGGGAAACTTTTCAGTTCAAAACGGTTCCTTAAGGAACCCCACAAAAGGAACCACTGTGGAGTAAAGGGTATGATTCTGAACTCATTAATATGATAATTTTTATTAGGCCTGTTATTATCATTATTGATATTAATATGTTAAGTTCTTGGATACATTTTACAGGTTTAACCTAAAGTGCCGCGTAAAAAATTTGATTTCTCTTTGTGGTTCCTGATGATACAGTCACCAACACTGGCAACGAGTTGGGCTACCTATCACTCTGTGTGACTTCATATTTACTCCTCTTGGTTCGTTGGTTAAAAGTCAATATGAACTGGACCAGAACTAAAATGCAACAGATGAACCGAACTACAGGTGTGAAAGCAGCTTGCAGCTTGTCTGCTCTATTTGTACCAAGCGGGAAGCTTGCGGTCTGAGACGGGAAGCCAATGCGGAAGTCCCTTAAACCTGCATTCTATTGAACAGCCAGCAGGGGGTGACTTCTTGTTGCAAAAAGAAGTCCGGTTCCATTAGAAATAATGGTAAAATGACCCTACTTCTCAGCTGATTTATTACCCCAGTAAACACTTTCCTAATGGGTTTATGGTCTCAGTCTCTAGTTTCAGGTCTTCTTCAACACGGCATGATGTTCATTTAGTAAATTATGGTCCCATTTAGAGGAAAATAGACCATAAAGCAGAGTATGCTTCAGGGCGGGATTATCTGTGATTGACGAGTCGTGACCATGGTGACCTGTCAATCAGGCTAGAGTGACTCGTACCCACGGCTCTGTGTAAATTTAACCAGCCCTGTTGAAAAAGCGTATTAGGAGTTGGCTGTTCACTTTCTCTGGTGAGTACATTTAGTTTTAAGACTGTTCTCTAGACAAACTTATCAGCCCTGTTAAAATGACAGTTAACTCGAATTACAGATGCACCTAGCTAAGCAAGCTAGCTAGCTCCACACACGGCCGTTAGCTCCACAGTCTTGTGATAATCTGGTCACGTCCAGTGCTGCTGGTTGCAGAAAATCAACATGGCGGCGCCCTATTGGCCAAACTCAAGGCTTCAAAATGGCAGTCCACAAACCAACGGGTGACGTCACCATGACTACGTCCACTCATAGGTGTCATTTACACTTGGGACGCTGTGGACATGTGCCCACCACATTTTGAAATGGTTGATTTTTGTCTTCATTAGTTTTTGAAAGCATTTAAAAAATGTTTTTGAAAAATAGCACCAACAACTAACAAATGAAAATGCTTTGAGATTATTTGAGTTTATTTGCACAATAAGAAAACATGCAATACTTATTATATGTAGAAGAAACAAATGTGCGTTGTCCAAAAAAAAAAACAAGCTGCTGATTACTGCATTATATTGTTATATTTTTATATTTATGAATTGTCTCCTGCCAGCTGAATCTTTTCTTTGGCATTTCTACCGTATATTGGAGCAGAAAATGTCTGAAAAATGCAGGAAATTAAGTGTTTAATGCTCCAATTTTTTCCAAATACTTCAGCATTTCCTATTTCTTCAACATATTAAAAATCTTCTCGTCTTGTTCTCATGCATCGTCACATCTCGTGACCCAAAGTGTATCATCACACCCCTAATCTAAGACCTCATGTCACCACCACTTTTCAACACAAAGTGGCGCCCTTGCGTCCACTTATATACAGTGTATGCTTTGTACCCAGCTGTTGCTGAAAAAAGGTGCAGACTGTATAAGAGCCCACTAGAGGTCCTTGTCCCTCTGCAATGAGCCATCACTGCTTTTCTGAAAGATATGCAAAGGAATATCAGGAGATGACAATAAAACAAGCCCTTGGTTTTACGGCACCCGGCAGGCTGGTGTTCACACAAAGCTGATGGGTCACAGAGTTTGGTGCAACAAAGCCACAGCTAAAAACAAACAACAAAAAACAAGTTCAAATGTAGCCACATCACCAACCAATTTGAAACGACACATTGAGTTGAAGCAGCCGAGCAGTCTTGGGAAATATGTGCAAGTGAATGATGATCACAAGAAATAATTAACAAAGGGTGAGACCACAAGCCAACATTTTGTAAAGGACAAAACGGAAGAAATGAATGTGAACTGTGACATTAGTTAAACATTCTAAATTGTGAAGTTTTATTCTCTGTGAACTGAACTTTGGGTTTGCGATTGTGAAGTCATGGAGTGAACTTCTATATCACTGCAGCAAGATGAGAGGATCAATAGTCTGACTTGAGATCATGTTTACAGAAAAAATACAGTTGCATTTCCTTTTTGTTTGTCTGCTATTATTATGGAAAACACAATAACCAATTTAATGATAATAGTTGCTACCATTCTATAACTCTATAATTCAGAACATTTATTGAATCACCACCCTCTGATTTGCTCAGTTGTACATATTATGTTATATTATTATGTGGATAAGAGATGAAAGAGAAAAAAGTGTGTCCTGCAAATGTCAACTCAAATTCAACAGACCATTGTCACCGAATCCATACCAGTGTGTGGAGTGAAAGGAAATAACAATACAGTCGTATTATCAGGTATGGAAATTCACATAGTTCCAGTATTTTTTTTAAGGAAAATGCAATTCCAGAAGCAAAGTAAAATATTTTAAAGATTTTTAAAAGTTTTAACCTGTAACATTATTTCAGGGTGTAGAACCGATGCTGAATCAGATTTAGATGGATGATAAAAGTATTCAGTTTTTCAAGTCCATTTTCATGAGTGCAACCCTCATACATACTACTGCTGCTCATCCCACAAATGCATGTTCCTTACAAATGTGGCACCATTTAAAAGGGAAATAATCAGCCTTTCCAGATTTAATGCCAAGAAGCATTGTTACAACAAAGACACAATCTGCCAAACACAAATTTCCTTACTTTTTGTTTATAAAAATAATTCATATAATGTAATCTGTATTTTTATTATGCGTTGGTTAGTTAGTTAGATAAATGTAGTGGAGAAAAATGCACCTAAAAAAAGTACCTCCAAATTGTCCTCAAAGTTCATCAATTAACATTGGCTCTGTAGAATATTAGACATCTGTGACCTCATTAACGCTTTCATTTGGTTAGTTGGTCAGTTCCCATTCCATGCTGAATGATGTTTTCATGTTGTGTTAAGATGTGCCACTTGATGCACATGTGTTTTTTGCTTAATGAACCCTCTGTGCATACTCTAGAAGGTCTGACCCCATTTGAAGGGGGGCTTTGGGTAATACGTACTATGAGCCTAACAGCCATGTCAACAGTAAACAGAAGATGTTTACTCTACTGTGTCTACCCTGTAGTCAGCTCTAGTCAGATTAATATTGATAGATTACGACACTTTACAAGCAAATATATGAACCCTCTGTCCTGGCTGTGCTTTGAACATTGTTTCAGCGGAGAGCATCCGGCATGCCATTAAAGCTGATCTGAATTTGAGTCACTAAGTTCAAAGATTTTCACTTCCTGCTTTTAATCAATGTTATCACATCAAGCTTGTATCTGAAATCAGGCCACTTCTGTAATATTCTTATCATATGACAAATTGATCACGTGACAGTGTCCTCGGTAGAGTTCTTTTATTTTTTTTTTAACAGAAACTGCCTCCTCTGATTGGCTGTTAGTTATAATCCAGGCAACGGCTCTCTCTCTCTGATTGGCCAGCAGCCCTTCAGTAAAGCAACGCTTCCTGGTTATTTGCAAATGGAGAAATAAAGTTGTTTTTAAACCTGCGCTGCGGTGGGAAACTCTGGCTTCTTTTGACTGGGGACCAAAATGTCTCTGAGAAGCGGCCTTTCCCTGCTTCTGGTCGTCGTGTTCTGTGTTTTTGTAACTGCCTATTGTAAGTTTCCCACCTTAGATCACATCAAGCCAAAAGCCAGCGACAAGGCGCAGGGGGGAGCGGTGGTCGAGCTGCTCAAACGCCTGCTCGGGGACAGATCCGCGGAGTTCATAGTTTCAGTCAACAGGAGCCTTTCCAACGACAGCCTGGACGTGTGTGAGCTCAGATCCACTAAAAACAATAAGATAGTGGCTACAGGCAGCACCGGAGTGGCCGTGGCTTCTGGCATTTACAACTATTTGAAATATTTCTGCAACTGCCATGTTTCCTGGTCTGGAAACCAGCTGGACCTGCCCCGTCCTCTGCCAAAGCTCAGCGGCGTGCTGCGCATCACCACCCAGCACAGGTCGGTCACCCACGGGGTTCAGAGCCGTTATCTTCATCATCATTCGGCACACATGCAGTGACGGACAGAGCAGAGCGGACCTTTATTTCACTAAAGGTCCAGAACATTTCCAGCTGTTGGTGTGAGCGCGATCTGAGTGACGTTTCTCACCTTCATAAATGAATTAATACTCAATAATCAGCAAATTACTACTGCATGTGGAATTCACCAAGTTCTGTCACTCTTACACTGTATGTTTTTATTAGAAGTGAAAAGTAACTTGCACTAACTCAAGTAGCCTAGTTTTTTTAAAAAGTAGCTTCACATCATTAAACACTAATAATTGAATATTAGTGCTACTACTTAAAATATCTCAAAAGGTGTTGCACATTTTTTATGAAAGTTAAAGGGACAGATTGCATAAAGGTTGGCTGAGTAATGCTGCCTTCCAGGCAACTTGGAACTCGGAATTTCTGACCTCCAGCTAGAAAAACTACCCTGGAACGCCACCTGAAGTCAGATTTCCTACTTTTGAACTCGGAGAAAAAATATGTACCCCATACACATTTAAATTAAAATAATACATACAATCATATAGTAAATCCTGTTCTGCATGTACATTGATGTAGAAATATTTTAGGCCTATTAGGTAGTTGGCTACAGTAAATAATCTCATAAAGTCATCTTCTCTGCATAAAAGTTATTGTTAAAAATGCCAAAACATTAGGAAGCATAACCTACAACATTGACTGACTTGATGGTTACCAACTGATGTAGCTATAGGGGTACACAGTTAACTAGTAAATGTAAATGCGCCGTATTTGTATAGCGCCTTTCTAGTCTTTTCAACCACTCAAAGCGCTTTTACACTACATCTGCATTCACCAGTCACACACATTCATACACCGAGCCTAAGTGCTCAAACAGAAACTAACATTCACACACATCAGTATCTTGCCCAAGGACACTTCCACGCCAACCTTCTGATTAACGGGGAACCCGCTCTATCTCCTGAGCCACAGCCGCCCCAAATCACTTGAACGCGGCATAAAAACGTGTGCAAACTTGATATCACCAGCAAATTAACACGTAAACTGATCTACTAATGGTGTACACGCAGAATGACGTCTTTCAAAAGTGCAAGATAGCGCCTGTTATTCATTTACTACTTAATATGCAATTTGGGGGGGGGTTCAATTTTATTGTGCAAAGTAATGGGAGGGTAACATGCAAATACATTTTTACTACACGCAATGTGATCTACCAAGCCTAAAAGCAATTTCATGTGAGAGCAACAGCATCTGTATTTAATACGTTTGAAAGGAAGGTGCAAACCGCCAAGTGTTGCAGAGATGGCTGCTGTTACCGGAGCGAGAAGGAGACACAGCCGTAATGAAAGAAGATGTAGAGAAATTAAAAATAATAGATAATATTATTCTATATCCAATATATAGAAATACAATTTTTATTTTATTTATTTGATGAACTATATGAATTGAGATGTTTTGGGGGGTTTCCCTTGCACATTTCGGCTCTCCAGCCATGCCATATTGGAGCTGTTGGCTGAGCTAAGGGCTCATTTGGAGCCAGTTACAAGAAGGAGTCATGCAATACTTGCCATGCCATGTTTTGACCTGAGTTCTTTTCTCCTTGAGATGGAAGAATTTAGCCCCCAGCTGCAGTAGAGCATGGATTACGCGTAATTACACGTGCAATATTTTAGAATGCACATGCAATTTAGTACTCTTTATTCAGGGTGTTAGTAAATCCGGCCCAAAGTGTTCTTTTGAGAGTATAATGAGCGATATAAATGTTTGCTTCATGAGCTATGAAAATGTAATAACATGTCAGACTCTATGTTCCTCTAAATTCAGACTTCCCATTAAAAAACAAGAAGAAAAGGACAAAACATTTGATTAAAAATGATATGAGGTTATTTGTCATTATACAGAAAAAGGTTGTATAACAAAACAAAATTTGTATTCCCTTCAAGCTACACTAAGTGTATATTAAAATATGGTACCATATAAATTAAAACAATATATACAGTTAGTTATACATGTTTACACACCGAAATTTGCTTCTTGGAGAATGTAAACAGCAGCAACAAGATGATAATCTGGTTTCACCCTCACATAAAAAGTCTGACATGTGGGGAAGCAGAGTCCATCTTGACTGTGTTTGAGCACCAAGCATCATCGATGAGTCCACCTCCTCTCATCTTGGCTGATCCCAATCATAGTCTAATCATTTGGCTGTATGCTGTGTCCTCAAAGGCAGATGAAGACTGCTCTGGCTGTTGCAGTTGTAAATAATCCTTTTGGATGGCCTGTGTGCATGCTCTGTAGAATCCCCTGATAGTGCAGTTTTACTGACATCCGCGCAACACCTTTGAAAATGATTTCACACTGCCGTACATCAGATGTGTGCCAGTTGTCACGAGTCATAGAGCTGCTGAGATGTAATATAATATGTTTTATCACCAGCTAAGAACTATTTACATGCTGCTCAGCAAATAAGACAAAGTATTTTCATGACAACACTATCAATCATTTCGATGGGGGTTTGCCTGGTATGTCTGAGTTAGAACTCTATGATGGCAGCATTTGGGGAGTATGCAACCCCACCCCCCTCACAGCAAACCCATGGTTGAATGACAAATGGAGCATTGTCACACATCATTTTTCATTGTTTACTCTGAGCACTTGTACCACGGTCGGGCCCTTTAAAGGACCCTTCCTTTCAATTATCTGCATTAGACGTGCATCAGCTCCCCCCAGTTATGTCATGTGCACAGTAGTTAGAGTGAAAATCCCATGGCAAGAATGACACAGTTTTAGTTTTCCCATGATTATAAGTTAGTGGTGACAGCAACTCTTAGCTGATAGCCAGAAGCTTCAATCATTTATTTACCAGCTGCAGGTCACCAATGCTCAGATCCGCTGTTTTAAAAACCAACGTGCCTCATTACTTTTAACTATATGCTATTTTAGTTCTTCTTTGGACTGCTTCCTACATCACCACAGCAGACAATCGGTTTCTTGCTGGCAAACCGGGTCCTGCCCAACCCTGCCTGGAGCTCTGATAACCCACATATTTGATTTGGCGTAGGCCTTTTTTACGCTGAATGCCCTTCCTGACACAACCCTCACCAATTTTATTTTAGCAATGTAATATGACAACTCCAATAGGAACTGGAATTTATGTGCCTTTGGTTGAATCTCAAGCAATATGCACATTGTAAAACACTGAAATATGTTAGTAAGTAATCGGTGTAGTAAGGAAACTGGATCTGTCTACCTCCTTTTAACCACAGTGCAGTGCGTAAGTGTTCAGGGGTCGGAAAATAAGTCTGGCATTGGCCCAAATTTTTTCAAGCTGTTACATGGCGGGCCAGAACATAGTCAAATTATTTCAAACCCTTGGATACTCGTGCACGTTTAGCTCAGTCGGTAGAGTGCAGGACTCCCAGTTGTATGATCAATCCCAATATCCTGTGGACTTTTTTTCTCCCATGTTAAACAAATTGATTAGCCTATGACTTTTGCACATGCTCAAGCATGTGCTGCATTGTGTGTGCATGTCCCGGCATTTGATCCGCATTCATAAACCCATGGAAGGTTATTTTCATTTCCCTGAGGAAATTCAGGGAAATCCAATCACATGTTTACTGACGGCTTTTTCGGAGGTGTGGCAAGCAAGCCAGAGACTCTTTTGAATGTCCTTCAGAACTTTTCAAAGTAAAAGCAATAAACTCGACATAAAGCATTGCTGCAAAAAAAATGTTCTGTTTCAACACCAGCCGCTATCAATTTATTTATTATTTATTTTTCTGTTATCAAAGCAATTTGGCCACAGGCCAGATATTATTGCTGGCAGGCAAATTCTGGCCCACGGGCCGCCTATTGCCGACCACTGCTGTAGATGATAAATGCCAGTGATGTCTGTGCTCTGAGGGACCACGATACAACAGGCTGGTCTCAGGTATGTGCCTTCAGAGGTCGTAGTTTGATATTTAATCAAGCACAAGCCTGTAGCTCAAACAGATGAAGTGAATCCAAGAATCCAGATAATGTAGGGGGCAAAATAGCTTCTTTGTTGTTTGACACACTTTTCACCTTTAACAAATATTGCATCTCCTGCGATTTGAAATTTGCAGGTGCCATATTGTGATTTTAAAAATATGAATTATTCTCCCCTACAACAAATCACCCTTTTCCCTCAAGGGGCTTTGCAGTCTGTCCCTCTGCCTTTAGACCCTCGATTGGAATGAGGGAAAACCTTGCCTTTGAACAGGCGGAAAGATAGTAAATAAACAAAAAATGAGTTACAGTATATGAAAATGTCCATTTATGAAGAATATCATTGACAGCTGTTTTTTTGATGATGTGCCATACACTTATTGCAGTGACTCAGTTCACTATATTTGTGTGGATTAGAAAACAGAATCATAAATTGAGACACAGGTCAAAAGTGATGGAGCTCATGGAAAAATGTTTGATCCAGAAGAATTTCAGGGGATTCTAGAAACACCTTCAAATCTGCAGCAAGTTCTGTTTAACGACTCTTGTGGTTTTTGAAATATCACCGGAGATTTAGATGCTTTGCTCGGTGACTCAATTGTTGTGAGAGGCACAAACTGGGGTTATATGCCACATATTTGACTATTCGCAGCTGCTTAAATCACAGCATGTTTTAATGCTAACAAAGCATTGGTTTTCTTTTTCTTTGTTTGTGATTTCTTTGTTGTCTTGTAACTTCATTTCTTTAGGTTGAAAGAACTTCCTTTGAACAGGCAGTCATTTTTAAGACTTCTAACTTTCAAAATAAACAATATATTTGTGTGTTTGTATCTAGATTCCGGTATTACCAGAACGTCTGCACCTTTAGCTATTCCTCTGTGTGGTGGGACTGGCCAAGATGGGAGAGAGAGATCGACTGGATGGCACTCAATGGAATCAATCTGCCACTGGCTTTTACTGGCCAAGAAGCCATGTGGCAAGAGGTAAGAGCAGACCTGTTAGGCTGAAAGTGATGATATCCTAACCACAGAACAGCTCTTAGTATCAGTGTTTTGTATGTTCCGTTATTGGCTCGTGAAAGGCCGGATTCAAATATACTGTATATATTTTATGGAACAGACATGACTTAATATCTGTGCTTCTAATATTATCATGTTTGACAGAAAAATGCTAGATGCTGGTTTTGTAGAAAGTTAAACAAAATAGAGGCATTATCCTCAGAGCAATATGAGGAAGAAGATACAAGCAAAGAGGAAGAGATTCCAAGCGATGGAGGGGACATGAAGTGATGAAGACAAGAGCAGGAAGAGGAACTACTAACATCTTTAATTTGTCTTTGCAGTGACCGTCTCTGACTGTAGATACATGACACATACCTTGACATGTGATCATCAGCTTATGAACTTGTTGTGTGCCCTTTAGGTTTACCGAGCTCTTGGATTGAACCAGTCTGAGATTGAAGAGTTCTTCTCTGGCCCAGCGTTTCTCGCCTGGAACCGTATGGGGAACATGTTCAAGTTTGGTGGGCCTCTGCCACAGTCCTGGCATGTGAACCAGCTGTACCTCCAAGTACTAAAACCTCCATGTTTGTCAACACAATTTAAAGCCACTATGTGTAGGATCAGGACATGTCTGACTTTCACACCGATTGGTGTTATTAAAGAATGTGCTGAAAGCAGCACGGAGACTACACCAACTTTCACCTGAATTGTCTTATTTTTCAGTAAAGAGAAACTTTAATGTTTAGAATCATTTAAAGATAATATGATCCCATCAGTATTCCACATATAGTAGAAAATAATTTGCACTTTGACGGAAATAAGAATTCTTATAGGTTAATTCCAGTTTATAAAAACTGGGGTCGTATTTTTGATTATTTGTATTATACTTGCAAAAGTTATTGTTGAGATCTTGTATCATGTCATCACAGAGATTGCTACAATGTCTACAAACCCCCAGGTTGGTCAGATTACCTTAAGCACTTTATTTGGAGGTAAAATGGAAAGTGCACACCTGAAATGTTGCTAATAATCCCTCATTGCGCAGAAAACCTGTTCACACAATACGCTAGTCGCTCAAAGCTGAAGCAGGAAGTGGGTCTGTAATCTGTGATGTGTGTTTATAATGGACAGTTTGGGTTGTAGTTTTATTGTTGCTTTTGCTTTATATTCCAAGTTTGACTGATGTGGGGTTTGTTTGCATCATGTCTGATGGCCTGACTGCTCATGTTTTAGCCCTTTCTGACTAGGATTGATGACGCAAACTACAAAAATGCCCAAATTGTCATAAATCAGAATTACCATTTAAAAGAAAAGTCATGAATCGTTTCTACATTTAAAATGTTGGGTGATGAATTTCAGCTTGCCAGCAGCATTGTACTGAATACTCCCACGTGACATATCCTCTCTTTCTGCAGTTTAAAATCTTAGAGCGAATGAGATCCTTCGGCATGATTCCTGTGCTGCCTGCCTTTTCTGGAAGCGTTCCCAAGGGAATCCTCAGGTGACTCATGCTTGTTTATGTCTCAACATTTCTGAATTATACTGCTCTGTTTACAAGGTATTACCAAGATACATACCAATATACTAATAGTTTTATTTAAAGTAAGAGTGTCCCAATCAAGTTTTTTGGCCCTGATCCAAGTCCTTCAATATTTGGTATCTACTGATTTACTTTAATTCTGAAAATATTGTAGCACTGGTCCTATTATTGTTCCTTTGGCCCATGTTATTTAGTATTTTTATTAACAATTGGTATCTGACGCATTGAAATAACAGCTGTAGATACTAAATCTGACCAACCTTATTTTTCACGAGGCTTGATATGCTTAAATTATTGATATGAATGAAAGTTTAACAAGAGAATGTGTCTTCTGAAATTGACATGAAGTGATCAGCTTGTTGAACTACAGAAGACGTCTCACTGTTGGAATTGTTGAAACTACTGAAACACTCAGTTAACTAACAAATGATCTTTGACACAGATGATACAGATGCTGGCTTGCAGACAGCACTTTACCCTAACAACAGACAAGTTTATTGTTGTCCCCTTTTTAACTTTGCCACAGAATTATTATTATTACCTACTGACACAGAGCCGTGTACCCAATAGTTTTTCATATTCACACATTCTTAATTTTTACTCCACTATAGGCTGTGGTAAGGGATGGTAAGGGCTGACATGGACAAAATATAGTATAGTTACTTGTTAATGAAATTGTCAAATCCTGTTGTGCAGCTCTTTCTATTGACTTGTCAAAAGCAAATGATACAGTTGATCATTGAATTTCGCTGAGAAAATTGTCTTCACTGGGTCTGGAAGGTGACACCTGCGTCTGGCTTAAAAATGATGAATGAGTGATAGAACCCAGGCCATTGTAATAGATGGTGCAAAGTCAAATGTCCTACCTGTTGAAAAAGGAGTTCTTAAAGGTTCAATATTAGGTCCTTTGTTGTTCACTCTCTATATAAATGATATCTGTAACACTGTGAGGAACTGTACATATCATTTCTATGCTGATGCCACAGTCATTTATGCTACTGCCCGATCCCATGCTCAAGCACTTCTTCAATTAGATTGTTTTATTTCCACAAAAATCTATTTTACTGAATTCTAGTAAAACTAAATACTCTTCTCTTCTAAGTCCAGAAAAAACGCTTAAGACCTTAAAGAGGTCATATTATGCTAATTTTCAGATTCGTAATTGTATTTAGGGGTTGTACCAGAACAGGTTTACATGGTCTCATTTTCAAAAACACCATATTTTTTGTCATACTGCAAATCTCTGCAACTGTTTTCACCCTGTGTGCTGAACGCTTCATTTTATCTATGGAGTGATACATCTCACCTCTACAAGATCTGTGTTGGTAGTTGCACATGTGCAGTTCCTAGTTAAGGACTACTAGCCAATCAGAAGCAGAGTAGGGCAGGTCATGAGAAGCCAGTAAACACAGCTTTGGTTCAGCTGTATATGTTCCCCTTACCAGCTTAGCAACATGGACTGGAGCAAGAGTTTCAGAGTGGTGAGTTATTAATCTGTAACAAAAGGATCTTTCATCCATAAAGTTGCATTAATTAATAAACGCTGACAATTATTTTATCGCATGTTAACACAGTTTTTATTATTATTATTGTTATTATTTTGAAAGTCCATTGCTCTCTGGCTCTGAATACACATGCAGTCAAACCATGGGTCACAGGAGGGGTGGGATGTTGATCAGCCTGCAAATCAGCCACCCAAACAAGCAGTGGAGGGAGGCTTCAGCAGACTATGCTGGATGCAGGTGCTGGTGTGGGAGAAATAGATAAACAAAAGCAAGACAAGGGATCAAATGCCATAGTGAAGTGGATAGCAACACACTGCATTCTGATTAGTATTGGGGAAGATGTAGGTCTGAGGAACGTTCTTAAAATCACAACGTAGTCGCTTGGCCCTGCGGGGTTGCTCTTTGCTCCGGAGAACAGGAGACAGCTCCTCGAGTAAACAGCTTCTGTGCGCTACAAAGCTGTAGCCTATTTAACTTAAGTTATAATTATACATAATTTTACCTGATAGGCCTTAATCTAGTTTTGCGGGGATACTCTGCCATGCAAATTCCTTTTTAGTTAGTTTAACAGTAATAGATTCTGGAAACCCACAAACAGCGAGGATCAGTCTCTCTTCCAATGATTTGTGCTCTGCGTCGTGTACAAAAAGTTCAAGACAATTTAACTGAACGTGTGCGTGAGGCGACCAATTCACCTCACTCTAACAGGGACACTTGCTACTGAACATAAACTGTTTATGCTGCTCCCTGATAAAAGAAAAAATGTTTCTGCTGAGACCTGTTCAGAAAAAAAACAAGAAAACAGATTCATATTAACCTGTTGCTCAGAAGGCGCCTCTTGTGATCGTGGCTCTAGACCCTAACTTGTTTTAACAAGCTAGATAAAAGGTAATGCCCTGGCCGTGTTAAATAGCTTTGGTTTTATATTTGATTTGATTACATTAATGTTTAAGTTGAGATTTACAAGAAATATTTTATTGCTACTGTGTAAAGGGAATACTTCTGGTAAAAAGCACCTTATTTGTTTAAAGTGTTTGCAAACCACATGTTATTGCACTTTTGTGTATATAGCAGTACATTTAAATTAAGTGTGCGATACACTACTTATTTATTATTCAATTTTGCACATAACAATGCGATTAATTACAATTAATCGCAGAAAATCATGCTGTTAACCGCGTTTCAAAAGTTAATCGTTGCGCAGCGCTAACAAAGTTTTAACTGAGCTCTGTCTCTACATCACAGTAACAACTTTATATCCACTGACTGCCTGTGGGAGATGGGAACTCCCTTTGGGCTGGACTTTGGGGCTTTTTCACTTTGCAAACCTATTACATGCACAAAAAAGGTATATAACTCAATAAAGGAGAATGAAATAGCCAAATCTGACCTCTTTAAAATTAGTACCCAGGATGGGTCTGTTATAGAACATGTTCCAGCATAAAAATACCTTGGTATTTGGTTGGATGAACATCTTACTCTTAAAACACATCTTACAGTCTTGGTGAGGAAGCTAACAGTTAAAATTGGTTTCTTCTACAGAAATAAATCACGTCTGTCTTATCAGCATAGAGAAAACATTGTAGAAGCTACGTTTATGTCAGTACTTGACTATGGTGATATACTGTATGCGTTTGCTTCAGCTTCAGAGCTGAGACCTCTTGATGCAGTTTATTACCCGTGCCAATTTCAACACACACCATTGTCTACTGTACTCACTCGTGGGGTGGGACACACTCAGTTAGTTCCATAGATTTAATCTATTTAATATAAACAGATATATTAAGGACCACCTTAATATTTCAGTCAAAACAGATGAACCCTCCTGTTTCCTGTATTTCAGGTTGTATCCAGAAGCCAGTGTAACCAGATTGGGACCTTGGGCTCACTTCAACTGCAGCTTCTCATGTGCATATATCTTAGACCCTCGGGACCCTCTTTTCCTCCAGATCGGTTCCCTCTACCTGTCCCAGGTGGTGAAGCAGTTTGGTACAGATCACATTTACAACACTGACACCTTCAATGAGATGACTCCACCTTCCCCTGAGCCCACCTACCTGTCTGCAGTCAGTCGCTCTGTCTTTGCCTCAATGACCGCAGGTGAGTGTCTTTCTGACTAATATTCTGTTCACATTGTGAGACGGTGTGTGTCTGACAACTGATGTTTTGGTTAACAAGTACAATACTTGCCCCAGTTTGATGACCCATGGATCTTACACAGACAGCCTCCCTTGAGCCCCCATTGATTTTCAGGCAATTTTGAGAACTGTCCTCCTATTGTTACTTGTCCAAATCAAATTTTCTCTCTCCAGTCGATCCTCAGGCAATTTGGCTGATGCAAGGCTGGCTGTTCTTCAGTGATGCAGTGTTCTGGAAGCCGGCCCAGATTCAGGCCCTACTACACGGAGTGCCCCTTGGAAGAATGATCGTACTGGACCTGTTTGCAGAGACTGAGCCAATTTTCTCCTATACCGAGTCTTTCTATGGACAGCCCTTCATATGGTGCATGCTGCAAAACTTTGGGGGCAACAGTGGATTCTTTGGCACAGTGGAGATCATCAATTCAGGGCCCTTCAAAGCCTTACATTTCCCAAACTCCACCATGGTGGGCATAGGCATGGCACCTGAGGGCATTGAGCAGAATCCTGTGATGTATGAGTTGATGAGCGAGCTGGCTTGGCGCAAGGAACCAGTCAACTTGTTCAAGTGGGTGTCGCTGTATGCAGTACGTCGCTATGGCAGCACAAAAGAGAATCTGACCGCTGCATGGAGGCTCCTGCTCGCCAGTGTCTACAACTGCACAGTGCCACATTACAAAAACCACAACCATAGCCCACTAGTGCACCGGCCTTCTTTTCACATGAATACTGGCCTTTGGTATGACCCAGCTGACGTGTACAAAGCCTGGAAATTGATTATTGAGGAAGCTCCATCTCTCATGTCCAAGGAGACTTTCAGGTACGATCTTGTTGATGTGACTCGGCAGGTCCTACAACTCCTGACAACATCCTTTTACCGGGATATTGCAGATGCCTTCCAGAACCAAAAGCTGCCTGAGCTGCTGACTGCAGGTGGAGTGCTGGTGTATGACCTCCTGCCTGAACTCAATCGTTTGCTGAGTAGCGACCGCAACTTCCTGTTGGGAACATGGCTGGAGCAGGCTCGATCCTTAGCCTTAGATGAGAAGGAGGCACAGCTCTATGACATGAATGCTAGAAACCAGCTCACTCTATGGGGTCCCAGTGGTGAGATCCTGGACTATGCCAGCAAAGAGTGGGGAGGCCTCTTGGAGGACTACTATGCCCAGCGATGGAGCTTGTTTGTTCACACCCTGGTAGAGTGTCTGGATAGTGGACGCCCATTTAAGCAGGACGCCTTCAACCAAGCAGTTTTTCAGGTAGAAAGAGGATTCATTTACAACGGCAGAAGGTACCCAACAAAGCCTCAGGGAGACACCTATGAGATCGCCCGCAGGATCTTCCTCAAATACTACCCACAGGCCTTGAAGAGACTATAGTAAGCAGAGACTACATTGTGGAAAAAACTTGTCTCAAGTCGCAGCAAGAAGAATGTCTTTCTCAACCTCCAGTTTTCCATGATTATCCCAAAACATTCTGATGTAGAAAATCTAACAGCCTGAATCTACATTTCTGTTTTGCATGTGTACTAAAATCAGTAATGTATAGTTGTGTGTAAGGACAAAAAGATTTTCACTTTACTTTCACATTGATGAAATATCAAATCATGCCTTATAAAACAGGAGAAGGAGAGTAGAAAATGACACATTAATGACTTGCTAGACTTTGAAGGTGGTGATTTGGTGTGAAATTGCATGAGTTCATCCCATGGTACTGTTGTTTATTTAACTGATCTTAAAGAAATAGTTTAACTTTTTTGGATATATGCATATTCACTTTCCCAGAGAAAGATGAGAAACTTAGTATCAATCTCATGTGTTAAGTATGGAGTTGGAATCAGGATGCGTTAGCCTAGCTTAGCATAAAGTCTGGAAGCAGGAGGGAACAGCTAGCCTGGTTCTGTCCAAAGTAAAAACAAAACTAAAGCTGTGTTATTTACATATTGTATGTTGTTTATTTAACCTGTGTGCCAACAGAAATGTAAAAATGACAATTTTTGGTTTTAGAAGTTAGATGCTGGAACTATTTCTTGACATACAACAATCAATTCGCCCAGTACTTCTGCATCTCTTGCTTTAGTGCAGGGTACCAGATACAGTTCGTGAGCACAGGTTTTGGTCTCTGAACAGACACCATGCTACTATACAAACTTACTGTGACAACAAGACTTCAGGAGTTAATAAGTGGCTTTAGAGTTGTTGGTAGGTGAGGACTATGTGCTTCATAAACATTGCAAGTAGCATCGGAACAAGTAGGCTAGTAGCATAGTTAGCAAACAATTGGATGCTTTTGATTTTGCATAACAATTTTCTACTTAATTTACAATTTCATGCTCATATGGTCATATGGCGAGATTGGGCTATTACACAATGAGTTTCTGTAAAGGTTTTATGAACAGCAGGATTTATTTAATGCTGAGTAATTGCTCTGACAAATTGGCTCACGTTGCACTTTAGAAGATTGTTCTCCCTAGATGATTTTTCTTTTTAAAATATATTTTTATATTGAAATTCTAGGTGTTAAACTGAGATATTCCACATGTACACAGGTTTCTCAAAAATAATGTATTTTTATGAGTCGCATTGGTTTTGTTTTGGATTACTGAAGTGTAGATGAGATTTGTCTTTTTGATAAATTTACTTTTAGTTAAGGACAATATAAATAGAAAGAATAGTTATTTTCTAAATCATAATTTGTATATTTTAGCAGTCACTACACAAGCATGACATACACTATATATGTGCCAACAAACATTTCATGTTTCACGGTATTGGTTTTTTATTGCATAAATGCTATTTTTGTATTTCGATTAATTCATTCGTTGTGATTCTTCAACTCAGGCATGTCATAAAAGTCTTAAGGCTATGTGACTAATAAAATTATTTCTTTCTTCACCTCTGTGTGTGCTCAGTGATGGTAACTCCACACATAAACCTGACAAATATCTATATCTATCTATCTATAGAGAGAGAGAAATATCCACTTATCCTTTGTAGGATTGGGCTGGAGACTATCACAGCATGCCTTGGGTGAGAGGCAGTGTCCAGCTGGACAGGTCAACTGTCTGTCACAGAGCTGACAACCATTTACACTCCTAATTACAGTTTTCAGTTCACTTAACTTTGTGTTTGTACAGTGGGACGAAACTGGAGCACCTGGAGAAAACCCATGTTCAGACACCACACAGAAACGCTCAAGCTGATGAGTCAAACCCATGAAATGTCTTGGTGTGAGGTTTAAACCAGGACCAATATCAGCTACTTTTACAGGGCAAACCCTGGTTACGTACAGGGTCGCGGGTCCAATAATTGTCCATTTGGAAAAATTGTAATGTTTTCAAAACAGTAATTTATGTAAGTAAAAATACAATCTGATCCAATATATTGATCCAGGGAGTGTTAGCTGGGATGACACGCCCTCAAGTCCACCACAGCAAGAGACTTCTAGCACAGCTAACTCCGTTGTTGCTCCACCACCACCATGTCCATGTGCTCCACAAGGGGCAAGAGGGCTTTAGAGGCATAACCAGAGCAGGCAATAACAACAAATAACGTTACATGGTGAGGATATTTAATGATCCCAGTAAATGGCCAACAACAGTAACCGAAGGACTTAGGGGGCTTTCACACCTACCTCATTTGGTCTGACTTTTCAGACAGACGATATTTGGTATTTCGAAAAGAGGTAGTCTCGGTCCAGATCAAACTGAACGATGGTTCGGTTCGTTTCTGGTTTGAAAGCATTTTTTTGGATGGTTCGGACTTTCAGACTATTTACAGGAAGTTCGGCGGTTGACATGTAAACTGGAAACAAACAAATGCATGGGAAATGCACTGAAATAAGGACACAATTATAAATCCCGTCACAGATCATCTTTCCAAGAGAGGGCCACTATAGAAGCACACTGCCACCAATCTCTTTGGTCTCTCCTCAAACAGAGGTGCAGAAAGATTGTTTGCTGTCTTCTCGTCCTTTCCTATCGGCAACGTTATAACGTTCGCACAACAAGGACGTTTAATTGCGAATTTGAACTAGCCTTCAGTATAGTTGGTGCTACAGGTAGTAATGCCATAATAATAACAATATAGTGGAAAATATGCGTTCATTTTTTATTCATTCATTCTTGTCAATGATACCCGCTGAACTGTTGAATAAACCAATCAATGTCAAGTATAGGGAGACACAGCCCACATACAGTAGATGATGACAACAGGACGCAAGTCTGTCATGTAAAGGTCTTTAGTGCTGTTGCAGAATTGCAGTGTGAAACCCAACCAAAACTAACCAAATGTATCAAAATATGAGTTCGGACCTTGGTGCGGACTTTCAGGTGTGAAAGCCCCCTTAGAGACATTTTAATTGAGAGGGGACCATATTAAGTGAAAGGAATTGATTTTTTCCAGGGACAGTGCAAGCAGAAAATATTCTTTTTTGTTGAAGTGGGAGAAAATCAGCTCTTGAAAAAGAGGGTGTTAAAGACTGGAAGAATTTGTCAAGCATCCTTAGCAACCATGAAAAATCAACTGACCATATAGAATGTTTTCATAAATGAAATGAGTTGGACATATGATTGGTCTCACAAAACACCATAGATGCACAAAATCAGCGGCTGTCGAGACAATTGTAGTGAACAACGGTGTGGATTTGTGCATTTTACATTGAATAAATTTGGAGCTACCCTAAATTCCTTTCTCCTCCCCAGAGAAGATGGGGAGGGGTCAAAGTTGCTTTCTCTAAGTGCTATCCCGACCATAAAACTGGCACCTTTTTGATTCCGAAGCTGATAACGCGGGGCCTGACTGTTAAACTGACAAAGGGACACGAGCCAGCCATTGGCATCTCCCTGAACAGCCTATCAAAACTGGCCCCCCACACACGTTTCCGTGGCAACTGACCTTATTCTTTGTTTTATTACCACATCAAAGGGATACTCCTTGTCTCACCTAGGTGTGACCTGGTCCAGACACTGAACTGGACTGCAATCTCCAAAGACTCAAAGTTTAATTAAATCGTTACCTGATTACGTTTGCCTCTATTTGAGTAGTTATGTTAACTGTTGTTGCTATCTGTTGTTTATTAGTGCTGAAAAGAAGTTACTTGTGCAGTGTTTTTATTTTCAGCAAGACACTCCTTCATCTAATGTAATCCAAGCTTTCCTCATGTAACCTGAGCTCCCCCAAGTGGACGAAATAAGTATTACATGCCCTCGTCGGAAATGCCGTTAAATGTATAAATATCCTGACCAATAATGTGACAATTGTTTCCTGTTACCAAATGCTTAGAACAGTACAACCGTTCGACCATTGAGGTTCGATTGTGGAAAATATTTGATTATAATACGTGCAAATAGATTTCTTTTCTTTAAACATTAAGTTTAGAAAGGCAGTCCCTTGGGAAACCTGAGACGCCCCCTGGGGAACCAAGCCCCAGACAACAAAAGACATGCAACCTCGCTTCGCCCTCTCTCCTCTTCGCTGTTGGCTCTTCCACTCTGTTCTGCTCTCTGGACGCTTCGGCACGCGCCGGCGTGCCTCGCCAGGCAACGCCCAGACTCGGCCAGCGAAACAAACAGGCCCTTTGTTCGCCTGAAGCTACACACCTGAAGTGCCGCGACATCGATCTGCCTTCAGTTTGTTTTATTTTCTTTATTTCTTTTGTTTGTTAAAGTTATGAGTCCGTTAAGTTATAATATATGTAATATAATCAAGAGCTGTGTGTGTTGCCTATTTCTAGTTCCTGCCAAGAGAATTGACCCTTTAGATATGAGACTGACTGACTGATTTAAGATTTAAGAATTGAGCGATTATTAACTAACTGATCACTAGTAATAATTGTATAATTATTCAAAACTACCTAGAGGTCCGGAGACTCTAGGATTATAACAACTCCGGTGGTGCCCTTAACGAGGAAATTCTGATTTTATGAATTTTAATTCATAATTGGGTATCAATTCTCATAAATGTATTAAAATGCATAACTAATAAATTTAGGTCTACTACACAATACACTGGCAAAATGTGTCGCAGCGGTTGATTAGTCTATCAGAGTAATGGCTATTAGGGGTGGGAATCTCTGAGCACCTCGATTACCTTGATTACCCACCTTCGATTATGATTCAGAGGGCTGTGATGCGATTATAAAACGATTATCGATGCATCTTGATGCATAATTTTTTTCTATACAGGATCTCTGGATAATTACTAAGCATTTAAAGAGGTGGTATTATGCTTTTTGTCTTTTTCCCTCTCCTTTATTGAGTTATCTACCTTTTTGTGCATGAAATGGGTTTGGCAAGTGAAAAAGCACAAAGTCCAGCCCAAAGGGAGTTCCCATCTCCCACAGAAAACTCTGCTATGAACTAACTCAAAACAGCTCGTTTGTAGTCCAGCCGCTTTCCTGAAAGCTAAATGCACTCGCCAAGCAGCTAGTCCGACACACCCTCAAAAACACTGCTGCAGCACACACCTCTCCTCTCCCTTCCAAACACTAGCTACCATCCAGGCAGTCAGTGGACATAAAGTTGTTACTGTGATGTAGAGACAGAGCTCAGTTAAAACTTTATGGATGAAAGATACTTTTGTTACAGATTAATAACTCACCACTCTGAAACTCTTGCTCCAGTCCATGTTGCTAAGCTGGTCGGCAACATGTAGCCTACAGCTGAACTGAAGCTGTTTAACGGCTTCTTGCTGACCCACCCTTCTCTGCTTCTGATTGGCTAGTAGTCCTTAACTAGGAACTGCACATGTGCAACTCCCAACAAAGATCATTTAGAGACAAGATATATCACTCCAAAAAGCCTTCAACACAGGGTGAAAAGAGAAGCTGCAGCAATGTGCAGTATGACAAAATTCAATTTCAGTTCAATTCAATTTTATTTATATAGCGCCAAATCACAACAACAGTTATCTCACAGCGCTTTTCATAAAAGAGCAGGTCTAGACCATACTCTATGATGCTATTTACAGAAGCCCAACAGTTCCCACCAAGAGCAAGCACTAGGCGACAGAGGCAAGGAAAAACTTCCTTTTAAGAGGCAGAAACCTCGAGCAGAACCATGGCTCAGGGTGGGCGGCCATCTGCCTCGACCGGTTGGGGTGAAGGAGAGAGAGAGAGAGAGGGAGAGAGGAACAGAGAGAAAAAGAGAGGGATGGAAGGAGAGAGAGGGGAGGGAGGCAGCCTACACAATATACACACACAGAGGTACAGACAGTAAAGGTGATGTTGCTATAGACTAAATGAAAAATGGTACAGATATTTATAGTAGTGTTAATGATAACAATCGTAATGTTAATGATTATAATTACAATAATAACAATAGGACTAGTAACAATAATTGTAGCAGAGGGTGTCGAGCAGGAACACGGGGGCAGCAGGTGACTCGCAACCACAGATCCAGACTCCACAGCTCCAGAGCTAGAAACACCTGCAGGAAGTGAAAGGAGGAGAGAGGAGAGGGACGAGAAAGCACAAGACTACCGGAAAGGGGTGTTAGTAACTTGCAATAATGGGATGAGGTTGCATACAGAGGGAGAGAAAGTAGAGGAGAGAGGAGCTCAGTGCATCATGGGAAATCCCCCGGCAGTCTAGGCCTATAGCAGCATAACTAAGGGATGGTTCAGAAGTCACCTGAGCCAGCCCTAACTATAAGCTTTAACAAAGAGGAAAGTCTTAAGCCTGCTCTTAAATGTGGAGATGGTGTCTGCCTCCTGAACCCAAACTGGAACCTGGTTCCACAGGAGAGGAGCTTGATAGCTGAACGCTCTGGCTCCTAGTCTACTTTTGGAGACTCTAGGAACCACAAGTAACCCTGCATTCTGGGAGCGCAGTGCTCTGGTGGGGTAGTAAGGTACTATGAGCTCTTTAAGATAAGATGGTGCCTGACCATTAAGAG